ATCTCCCCTAGACTGTGACATTTTCCAGACTGGGTTCTTTTAGAGGAAGGTCAGCTGAGTGACACATGTACACGTTTCAAATACTGTTGTTTTGTGATTTTTTTTTGTTATGTTCAACCTGTAACTGATTTTTTCCTTTTTCTCCCTCTGATACCTTCTCATTTTCTTCCCAAATCAAAGAAAAAAAAGCATGTGCTAAGTGGAGACATCTTTTACTAACTGTGATTTAGTCTACATTTTGCTGTATGGTGCCTGGCACCAAATTAAGGAATTATCAAATGTATCATCAACATCCCTAACAGAAAAGATTGCAACAGAGATTGCTTTAGACAGCTTGTGGTCAAGCCATACACTTTAATACCACTTTTCCCACATCTCTCTCTCTCTCTCATTGACTGATCCATTTAAGAGTACAGAAATGAGAGCTTATCTAAGGAACTGAGCAGTGATAGAACAGGTAGCTCCGAGATTCTTCAAGAAAGCTACCAGAATCCACCAATTTAGTCCTATGACAAATCCACCATTGAGCATGGATGCAGAATTCAGCTGGCAAGGGAAAGGAAATACAGGGTTCAAAGCAAGGTGAGGAGGCTCATGGCCAAAAAAACCCATATGCAGAGAACTACTTATGGCCTACCTCAACCCATATGGAAGTTCACTGCTTTTACCATTTAGAGTTCCCAAGAGAGCCTGTCTGGAAGGAGAAATAAATCCCAGTCCCCTCTAACACCAGATCCTGCTTACTGCATGTGGGATATTACTCAGCAGGCACAGCTGTGCTTGCAGTTTTATGTAAACATCTGAGGCCTTTCCTATAGCCCGAGTCTCACTCTTTTAGAGCACTTTCTTCCTAATTTCAAATTCCCTCCACATATATGATCTGCAGAAACTGGGCCAAATGTAAATCATGTTGAAGGTGAAAAGTGATGGTGTTTGAGCCAGGATGCAATGTCAATCACTTGAATCCTTTTCACAAGCCGCACTGCCCCAAATGCAATGTGTTTGAGAGGCATGTGCACAGAAGGCAAGGCCAGGAGGACATATTCTTCATCGTTATGTGGCTTTTGCTGTAAATTCCCATGGAATGTCATATCCTCAGGTAGTTACCAACTGGAACTGGCCCCAGACTCATCTCCCCAGCCAGATGTGTGGGAGCACATCCCTCCAGTCCTGACTTGGAGTTTAACTTCACACCAAACAAACCTACACTCACTAGGAGTGCAGCTCAGTAACACTGCCTGCTTCTGACTATGACCCAGTCTTGATAGAGTAAGGACGAGCAAGGAACAGACAGAGGCTAAAGCCATTTGATTGGCAGAAATGCAATGAAGTGAGCAAAAGCTTTAGATTCCTATTGGAAGTCAAGGTTAGGATGCAGTATTAGTATTACATATAACCCTTTACTGAGGTATGGAATCTATTTACACATCAGTAGAAAAACTCTTTTTGCCTGTCTAATAAGAATTCCTTCTTCTATTTGTAACAGTTCCGTGATTTACCTTAGTCATTCTACTGTTATGTTGTTTAAGTGGGATTAATTCTACATTTCTACCACTTTGCATGTAGATGAACAAGTATGTCCATGCCTAGACAGTCAGAATATTCCATCCCTGTACTTCAACAGTTTGGAGATGGTGGTGAGATCTGATGGTAGCCAAAGAATCTCAACTTTGGAGCTTTCATTAGAGAGCTTGAGAAAGAAATAGTATTTTGATTTAGCATTTCCAAAACAGCTACAAATCATTTTAAAAATATTAAAGTCTTCCTGAGAATAAAGCCAATGTGGAAGAAGAAGATATCCTATATTTTGTTTTCAATTTAATTAGGAAACAGCTTTTTGTTTCTTTGTCCATTCCTTCCTTCCTTTTTGCCTGCACCTGCCTACCTTCCACCACTCCTTTTGCCCCTCCCACCCATTCTTGCTCAAGCATATTTAGGCTACATTTTTGTTAGTCTTTCCTAAGAGAAGCTTTGAATAGGCTTGCTGCATATGTTTTCTGGGTGAGTTGCCGATTTGACTTACATGTTAATTGTACCTATTTGTAAAATGCTTTAAAACTTTTATTCATATATGCTGTTTTGGGAATTGGTAACTTATACTGGACACACAATACAGAATCTCTTCTCATTATTAGTCACGATGTTGAGCTCTTACACATATAGAACTGTAACTGTGGGGTAACATAAGTTAATTGTATCCAATTTACCCTGGATTTATTCACATTTCTATTATAATACTGCTATTTTTTGTTAGTTACCCTATACATTTGAAATAGTCTCTTTTACTCTATGGTAAAATTACTATAGTCAGAGTCATTCATTAACTGGCCTTATTTGACATGATCCAGCAGACTGGTTTATTTTCTTTGGTAGAAGATATTCTAGATTTCCTAGAGCTCCATATTGGACCATATAATTCAATTTTTTCATTTATTATAGTTTATTTCTTCCATTCTGAAAGAAACTTTGGACTCATGGACAGAGCATCAGTATCTATGTTGCACCTCTCAGACCACTGAACTTAGGGCTTCTTTCTAAGCATCACTTATAATATGTGCTACTGCAAATCCATGGGGAAAGAGTGAGTCTTAAACATGTGCTTGAAGTTTCTAAGTGAATTGAAATCAAGAGCTCCAAATTGTAAATGTATCAAGTCTCATCTTTGCAAGTCTCAAGCTGGCAAAGTAAAGGGTTTCTGGCAGTACTGTTTTCTGAATAAAATGCTCTCTCTGAGCTAAGCACAAAGCCATCTGCAACAGCTTAAATTGCTCCCTTAGTCACAAGGATAGAGTAGTGGTAAGAGTGAAATAGTTGTAAACCCTGAAGGCTTGCTTTTACCTCCAGAGTGTTCTTGGTGGGTGCTTGCTTCACTTTCTTCCTGTCTAGGTGCTATCCTCTGCTTTTCTTCTGGTGTTGACTGTTGCGACCTGCTAAAACTGGGGACCAGAAATTTTCTTTTATTTTAGAGAAAAGCTGTCCCTGCAACTACTCAAAATTAGAAATAGAAAATCAGCCCTACCCATATTACTTGCATTATGGCAAACAATCTGGAAATGCACTAAGATTGGAGGCTAAAACTGGTACCCTTACACACCAAAAGCGTAAAATGCAGGCTTTCAACTTCTCTTTCTTCTCCATAAAACCTGGGTTGTGTGAGTAGGCTCAATTGTCAATTTCCAACCCTTCTATCCTAAGTTATGTCTTGGGAGATTTTGAACTTCGTCATATTAGAAAAATCACACATAGCAGCATATGCCTTTTCCATCCTCCCACATATTTGCTCATATTTCATATATAACATGTCAACACAGCCTCATGTAGCCCCTCACCATGGCATAAAGTGCTCTAAGGATTTGCTGTGCTTGTGGACATTTGCATTCCCTAAGTAGAACAGTCCTATCACAACTAAGGTTCTATTTTGATATATTATGTCCATTACCACCCATTTAGAAGATAATAAAGCTGATATCATATGTTATTTTAGAACCAGTAAGATGTATTTGACAAATATTATCTTTTAAAACATAGTAAAAGTATTAAAAATTGCAGGATGAGTTTTCTTACCCCATGTTTGTTGGTAATATTCATCTTTAAATTTATTTCTCCAAGTACTTTACATAATCAACTATAGAAGGTCTACATGTTTCCCTTTTCCAGCAAAATATGACCAGTGGATCTATTCTCTTTCTTCAGAATTTTATTGTTACAATTCAGAGCATCTTTACTTTTTCAAATGGGAGGGAAATTACATTCTCAAGCTGCTAAATGTCTGAGCCTGTGCTTGTGGTCCAGCAGCTTCTCATGACCAGTGACTGTGTATGATGAGCACATGTGAAGGCGGGCAGATATTTTAAACAGGCATTCTTCAGTTGGCACCTGCCCCAAGTATCTGCTAACATTACCTCCTAATGTTTACAGTAAATTCAGTAGAATTAAGCTGCTTTAAACAATTGCAGTCATTGATTTTTTACTTGGATTCTGGGGCTTAAATCACACCCTTTAGGTGTGAGAAGGCTAAATCTTGCTAGGGCATGTCTCTAATTTATTTCATCTTCATAAGCTGCATTTATCTTCCTGCTTTTCCTCTCCAACAAATTCACTATCAGTTCAGTCTACAATATTGTGTTGATAGTTTCATCCAGAATATTATCTTATTGTTTGCTTTCTATAGTTCATCTAGCACCAAACAGGTAATGTTTTAAAGAGGAAGAGTCATACCATTAAAAATAGTATGCATATAAAGTTAGCACAATTTTAATTTCTTTTTATGACTTTGATCAGACTTGACTGAAAAGATATGTATATTTTTCAACAGCTACAAGTAGGTGTTGTGAATTGAATGCCTAAGAAAATGAAAGTTATGTGATTTTTTTGAGAAAAAGATTTCTTAATATAGTGTCTGTTAAGCTGGAAGCTCAGCAGAAATTGATAAAGTAATACTTAGAATGATTTGGTGAGCAGTAATACCATATTTTTGTGAAGAAGTTGCGATCCAGAGAGGCTGATATACCATTGCTTCTCTACTACTGCATGGCACTGATAGTCATATTCTACTGGTTAATCAAGTCTGAGGATTTAGGAAGAACTTTGCCAACAAGGAGAGAGGAACTCAGGCTTTGATTTCCTTTTAAGCATGGTGTAGGGGTTTTTCTGAATTACCCATGTATGCTTACTGTAATCACAGAAATTCTTATAAACGCAAGTGAGAGCTGAGAGAGTCTGAGTCGATTCAAACTGAGATGTTACATGACTGCCTTCCAAGGTGGATCCAGGAAGTGGTTGTGAATCAAGGAATGGAGGCAGTCTTCAGATGCTGGAATTACAAGAAAACATAATTCCCTGCTTGGTCCTCCAGAAAGAATACAGCCCTGCTGCCATACTCTGATGGCACCACAATAAGACCCATTTGAGTCCTTGACCTTCAGATCTGTAAGATAAACTGTTTGTGCGACTTCAAGCAACTACATTCATGGGAATTTTATTTATTTATTTTTTTACAGCAGCAAGAGGAATCTAATACTGCCTGCTTTGCTCACAGAGATGACTTCAAAGTCAGATGAGAAAGCTTATGATTTTCCCTAAGTGTCTTGAGTTCATAAATGAAGTCTCTGAGGTTATCTTTTTCATCTCGCCATCTTTGTGGTGTAGTCAGAGGTAACTTCACCCTTTCTCTACAACCATAATATTGTAGACATGGTAATCGCATTTCAGCCACTTGATCACCCTCAAAGCCTTGCTCACCACTGGTGCTCTATCCCGTGCACCCATTGTGATATTTTAAGTAAATCTGACATCTACATACCAGGAATCTCTCATGACCCATTTCTGATGGACAGATGTTTCTTTCCTTAAGGTCCTACCAAATACTAAATGCCATGCCATTCCAGAGCCTGGAAGAGAATATAATTTATTCCAAATGTCTCAAGCGTGCCATGTTAAGACAAAAAGGACTGATAGGGTAGAAGTAGTAGAAAGCTGTCACTAAATGGAAGGGAAGAAAACCAAAGGGGCTCAATGGAAACTGGAAATGTTAATGATAGGTCAGCGGTGTGCTTGGGATCTGGATCAGTGCAGAGCAATGAGGGATGGGATATATCAGCCTCTTTTCTCCTTACTCTTGCATCACTAACTGGTGCTTCCTATTGGTCAAATTCTACCTGCATAATGCTGCCCATTGAGTCTAAAATATGCATTCCAAGCAAATCACTCCTGAAGGGCATAGAGAAAGCCAGTAAAGAGTAGAGAAATGATCAGAAGCCTATGTAGAATGACTAGCACAAGCATAAATACATCATTTACAATCATCCTAGTAATTAGCAAAGGAAATAAAAACTAATATGAATAAATATGATTCCGCAAAGAGCCTAACTAAAAGGGTTATATTGGCTTGAGAGGAAATATAGTAGAAGGGGAGGGTTAGGCTTTATTTAATAGCTTTTAGTAGTATTTAAAACTGAAGTATTCATGAATGACATTTGAAATTAAAAATATAAAGTAGAAAGTAGAAAAATCCGAAAAATTTAGAAAAAACCTTGAGAAAATAAATTATAATTTTATGTAATTCCAGTATCCAGAGAAAAATCATTGTTGGTATTTTGATGTGTCTCTTTATTCTCATTTTTTTCCATATATGTCTACAAGTTAACATATACATGAAATAATTTTGTATATGCATATGTAAAGATAAGTCTTACTTTATAAATTTTTAATTTAATGTGTTTTCAGATTTGAAATATTATAAATTATATTTAGTGGTACATATTGCTTGATGACGTATACATATACGTATGTACTTTATATACCATATCTATTCATATTGAGATATATTATTTTAAAATGTCCAGTGCTATAAATTATGTTACATTAAATCCACTTGGACATAACTATTTATTATTGTTTCCTTAGCGAAAATTCCAACATCTATTTCTCATCTTCATGTCTCCAGGTCCTCATGATCATTAATCACTGGCTCAGTGTCCTGGGCATTTTCTTCTTATTCTACTACTGACTCCCTCTTCCCAGTGTTGTTTTCCCTCCTCCTGTATTTTCTAGGGACTCGGGATCAGTGTCTTCTGGGCATCTCATCCTTGTTCCTTCTTGCTCCTTTGGTAGCATTTACCGGGATCCAACTTCCGATCTTACCTTCTCGTGCCCAGGACTGGCCTTGACTGTCCTGATTGTCTTTGTTGACATATTTTCTGTCTGGAAAATGGATCATTTTGAAGCTTTTGATGCAACTTCTGCCCTTGAAATGAACATGAAAAAATTTCTGAGCAAAGTTAAATTAAGATGTATGTCACAAAGGCAAAGCATTCTTCATATCCACATCCTCCTATCCTTGTCTCTTCTCTCCTAAAATATTCCAATTTTTCTATAAATATGAGAAAAGAGACAAAATTGTCCTGTTTAACATGTAAGAGATTTTCAAAATCACATGGCAGTTATTCTAGTAAATGCATTTTCTACTCACCCTCTTCCACTTTCTCTTAAATCAATGACTTTTCTGTCCACATCATTGAAGTAACAAATCACAATATCTAAAAAAGAGCTTATGTATATAATAACAAGGTTATTCATAGCAGAGCTAATCTTTCACATGATAAAATAAATTGATGATACTGGCAATTGTCTTACAGTCTAGATTTTAAGTTTTAAAGCATCATTCAAAGCATAGATTTTCGAAAGTTTTTATTCACTTTCATATAATTAAGGGTGAAAAGCATTCAACTGTAATTTTTAGAGCCTTCTTACATGCCCTATGGATTCTGTGGTAAAAGAAAACTCACGTACAAGGACAGACCAGCCATTCTAATTATCCATCCACTAAGGGATTTTTGTGCATGAATTTTCACCACTCTTCTCATTTAGGTCTTGCCCTCAATGCCTGGGGGCTTTGCCTAGCAGGTGGTGCAGTGACCTCTGGTGGAGTAGGCAGCCAGGCTCTCGAAGAGACAGCTGGGCTGGGACAATTAAAGACTTTTATTTTCAATTCCTTAAGATGCAAGTTCTACAGTAAAATTTATAAATGCCACCAAGAATGTGTTTCATTTTATACAGTTATTTAGAAAAACATAGTCGTGCTTTCTTGATTCATTGTGGTAACTTCTTTTATGTAATGTGTGGAGGACTTTTTTTTCTTCTTTGTTAAAACATGCTAATTTTCTTTATAATTTATATTTTCACTTTCAAAAAAATAGAAATTGGCTGTATTAAACGTACATGTTGTTATGGGAGAGATAAACAATTCTAATGTGGGTATGTAAACCACTAAATGACTAATAAACCTACTAATTCCAATCATTATTAAAACCTTTACTAGATAGGTGAAATCTGACAGTTACTCTTAATTTCCTCATCTGTAAAACTGGAATAATGGTAGTTACTTGGCTTGTAAAATTGATGTAGTTACTCAAAGACATAATGTAAAATTCTTAATACTTGGTACATAGTAATTCTCAATAAATGTTGTCACTGTTATTATTTCTTTTGGAAACATCCTCATTTAAATTGTGATTAGAGTTGTCTATATCAATGTGTTGAACAATATTTCTACCCACACCAGGTTGTATAGACTTGCTTCAATTATATGTTTATCTTATCACTTTCCTGATCACAAAGAATGATGATTAGCTAATACAGATTGTCTTTCAGTTTATAGAGCATTTTCATATTTCATCCTATTCTCACTTCAATTGAATTAATCAGTAACTCTAAATTATATTACCCTTTTAATAGATAAATAAAAATTTATCCAGTTTATTCACTTAATTCATATACTTTTATTACTACTATAATGTACTGTTATGACTTTGCTCAATAATATAACAAAGGTATGTTAACACTAATATTTGACCTCTATTATCCTGACTACAAACATCATACATCTTGTTGCCCATTGTACAACACCTGGATCCCCCGAAAAACCTTTCATCCATTCATATCATGGCTATTAAAGTTGGTTACCCCAACTTTAGGCTGGATTGCTCATAGACTATCCCAGACAGGTAAGAATATAACATTTTTGGCCGGCGCCGCGGCTCACTAGGCTAATCCTCCGTCTTGCGGAGCCAGCACACCGGGTTCTAGTCCCGGGCGGGGCGCCGGATTCTGTCCCGGTTGCCCCTCTTCCAGGCCAGCTCTCTGCTGTGGCCAGGGAGTGCAGTGGAGGGTGGCCCAAGTGCTTGGGCCCTGCACCCGCATGGGAGACCAGGATAAGCACCTGGCTCCTGCCATCGGATCAGCGCGATGCACTGGCCGCAGCGCGCTTGCCGCGGCGACCATTGGAGGGTGAACCAATGGCAAAGGAAGACTTCTCTCTCTCTCTCTCTCTCTCTCTCTCTCACTGTCCACTCTGCCTGTCAAAAAATAAAAAAAAAAAAATAAAAAAGGAAGAATATAACATTTTTACTGATCTTGCTGACACAATCACACAACTTCTCCAGGTGCTGTTTTTATGCAGTGCTGCAAAGCTCTTTCTATGACGAATAGCAGTTGGATTCAACTCTATCCCTCATATTTCAGCAAGTGAATATATTGCAACTCACATATAGAGGAAAATAAAGCAGGTAGGATAGAAAGGGCTGGTATGTGGAAGGACCACTTTATTTTATTTTATTTGAAGAAAATGAGGGAAAAGGTCATGCAGAAATCTGAGAAATAGAATCCCAGGTAGGTGGAAAAGGAGGTGACAAAATTGCCAAAGATTTGAGGGGCAGTGAGGAGAGCAATGTGTCAGGAGCAGAGTGGGTGGGACAGAGTAATAGATTTGTTTAGAGTCAAGAAAGAGGAGCAGACTTTGCAGAGGCTTAAGGCTAATGCAAAGATTTTTCTTTAATTCTGAATGTCAAAATGTTGGCAGATTTTGAGCTGAAGAATTGTGTGGTCTAATATAAATTTTAAAAGAAAGGGCATGGGTAAAATGCAGAGGGAAGTGGAGCCACTGCCTCAGCAGGGGCCATTGTCCCCACACTTTTAACGCTTTTGTAAAGATCTTATATTTTAACACTTCTCCAAAGCAATTAAGCTAGTGGCACTATCCAAATCTGGTCTTGACCTTTTAGAAGAGTTATTTCATCTACTGTTCTGTATCTTTACACACCTTCTAGATCCTTATAATAGGATCACACCAGTCACACTGCTCAGCAAGTGAATAATTCCTTGATTTTTAAGAAATATGTTATTCCTCATTGATGTTTATCTATTTTACTGACACCATTAATAGCAAATATACACACATATCTAATGTGTAAAATAACTACCATCTATCTATCACATATCATCTATGTATTATCACCTATGTATTCTTTTTAAGTTAATAAATGTTCATTTTGTAGCATAAATATATGATGATTACACAGGTGGACAATGAGATAGATAATTAGAGAAATTCCTGAGTATCCAGTTGTAAGCAGTTTGAGAATAGAAATCATATCTACTTAATTTTTATATTTATCCACCTCTAAGAAAGGTCTTTGCACAAGAGCTCCATTCTTACCTATGAAGTCCTTTCATTAATTTGTTAATAAACTGGGAATGATAATAATAATGATCCAGTTTTGTATTGGGTACCTGCCCAGTTTACCATGATTCTCCTTTTTCTGAAAACTTGTAGTTCAGAGGGAACTTCTGGTTCATACCATACTACTCAGTCATGT